GGTCAATTGTATACACCTCTATTCCTATTGAAGGTAACTGAAAATGCTTATATTTCTCTGCCTGAATTGTAAATACTGATAATCTTCATTAATTAGGTACCTCGTACCCTTCTTCATCTTGCTTATTTTACTTGCTGAAACTTGCATCTACCTTCCGATTCTCTTATTCTTTTTTACCATATGAGTGGATAAATATTCTTGCCTTAGGGCTCCTTATCAAGAAGCTTACACATCTTAGTACACACATGATCTTCTCAAGACCTCACATTTACTCATCATAAGCATGATGCAAAATCGAGTTCCTTTGACTTAACTCTTCCACAACCACATTCAATCTCTTACCAACTGTCTTTCTGGATGTAAGTATCGTTGTATTACAAATAAAATAAAATTTAGGAGCTTGAATTCTTATAACTGAGCTCTACCACACGATCTAGAGTAAGAAGAAAGAGTGACAATCCTAAATGCCCTGTAGCCTCCTTCTTATAAGTGTGGTGCACAACACACTCATAAACAAGACTCTACTAGACACGGCTTGTAGAATCCCTAGGACAGAAATGCTCTGATACTACTTTTGTCACAACCCAAACCGTAGGGACACGACGGACACCCGGTGCCTAACTCAACCGAGTAACAACGTAACGTATCCTTCTTATCATACTATCATGGGTAAATGAACCGGAAAGGCAGTCATGAGATAACTAGAATTAAACATAAGAGAATACTCGACATGTGATGACCCAACATGATATAGAAACTTATGCATACGACATACGGCCTATAAGGCCGACATGATCATTTGTATACTCAAAACATAGGCCAACAAGGCCATACAGGTATCCATATACATGACATCTATCTACAAGCCTCTACGAGTACATAAATATCATAAAGTTCGAGATATGGCCCCGCCATACCAATCAATACATGTCCAAATCATACTGACTAGATAGGCAACTCTGGAGCAAGTGGAGTGCACCAACACCTTCTGCTGAGCTGGTAGCCTACTAGGAGGATTCTCAACCTGTCTATCGGGACCTGTGGGCATGAAACGCAGCGTCTCCAGGCAAAAGGGACGTCAGTACAAATAAAGTACCGAGTATGTAAGGCATGACAGTAGTATATAAAAGACATGAAAGAAACATGGAGTACAGAACTCAACCTATAATTTTGAATAGCTCTGTGAATCATGAAAAAATTATAATATCATGCATGTGCGTATAAATGTCATACCATGCATAGGTATATGCGTACATAACATCATCAAGCCTCTGAGGGCATTCCATCATATCATCTCAACCACTATGGGCGAAATTATCAATGTATACCATCTTATCAGGTGGTGGTGCATATATAACGCCATAACCTTCACACACACATATATATATATATATATATATATATATATATATATATGCGTATATAACGCAATCTGGTCATAGGTCAGTATACATGTATAAATGAATGCAATGCATAATGAAGTAACTTAATAAGATCTCTTGGAATGTCATAAGACCCATGAACAGACGATATGATAGTAGGACACATGGGGAATCAAGAACATAGGAACCCTTAGTACTTCTATGAATAGATTCATTTATGAAAGTTTCGCGTTGCACGTTTCGTTTGTAACATATGGATCATGCCAAAAGGAAAGAATGGATAGCCTTAACATACCTTAACTCCATTGAGTCCTTAATACCTTCCAAGCAATTCTTCAAACAACTCAACTCAATCTACCATAGCATAAGGAGATTCAAAATCAGTGTTGAGTAAAGACTAAGTCCGTAACTTAAACTAGTAGCTCGTTTATGTAAATTTGGAAAATATCTCCCCTGTAACAAGAGACTTCTCCAATACCATATACCAACAACAATGATCAGAGAAATCCAGCAATACATAATTATTAATAACAAGACACCATATAACAAAAATAAGTCACAACTACTTCACGCCGAGTTACAAGCCCAATTGGAATCCGTATACCCCATATCACCCCTTATACACTTATTACTTTAACTTACTAGTATCATTAACATGATAATGAAGTCATTCATCAATGATTTCTGCCTTATACCATATATTTATAACAAAGAAAATAATCCACAACTCCAATTATCCTCAATTAGCAACTTTATTTACTAGTTCATGTCTAGTTCATCCATTTAACTTAATGAATGTCAAGATAACCTTAAGCACATGCAAGAACACAATATACATACCTCCTACAGTAGCCTCAAGTCAAAATCCAAGTTATATTTAGCTTACAACAGCCCTCAATGGCAATACAACACCATAGAAGTGACTTAAGCTAATATTCACGTCCAATCTCATGTTTTGTATGCTTCTTTCACCAATTCACTTGATAAACATATAGACATGCATAACAACAGAAACCATATCATAATCGAGTTGTTTTCCCCCATTTTCCAGACATTTATAGTTCATGAAAATAACCTTTTCAAAACAATCCATTAAAACCCATAACATCTCAAACTATTTCAAGTCTCTTTTTGTAGTATTTTGCTCAACCAACACACAAACAACTTCAAGTACATGTAGTAGGATTTTATACTCATCTTAAACAGTAGAAACAACACGAAATGTCAGCCAAGCACAACCCACAACTATCCTCAATAACACCACAACACTATAGGTGTTGTATTCTCTTCTTGAATCAACTTTTGGTGTTCAAGTTGGTGTGCAAACACTTGTAGTTCGCCTTGAAAATCTAATATATATGAAAGAGTGACTGATTATTACCTTAATCAACAAGAACAACACGAAATCTGAGGTTACTTACCTTTGAAGAACCCTCCAAAACAGCCACAAGACGAAGAACTACGATCTATCAAGCACCACGGGATTTCTAGCGTTGGATTCATGTTTTCATCTTAGGTTCTCACCCTAGAATCATGGAGGAACCATTGGAGAGAATTTAGTAGGATTTAGGAACTTTTTTGGACCAGAAGAATGAGTTAAAACGACGGAGAATTGACTTAAATACAAGCTGAAATTTTTTCCTTCCTTTGTGGGTCCCATGGGTGTCGCTTGCGCAGTCTCGCGAAAATGCGAATATCTCTCTACTCCGATATCGTATCGACAAACGGTTAAATGCGTTAGAAACTAGACTCAAAGAACTTCAATTTTGTATATAATATGTCCCAAAAAGACATTATAAAGCTTACGACATGTATTGCTCAAAAAGCTTCATTACAAGGCAAATACTTAGTCGGTTTTTCCGCAACTTAAATCCGATTTTCCCAAACTTTATATTTCATATCCAAACATCATATATAGTCATATCATGACTTTAAACTTATTTAAAACATGATTAACAAGTCTTATATTTATCTTAACTTAATTAAAACTTCGGTAAACCTTTCTTATCCTTGTAGAAGGATTTCGGCCTTTTTGAGTTGTAATCCTATGACAATGACGTCTGAAGTACGGGGTGTAACAATATGTCCCCTTAGAAATATTTGTCCCCAAATGATAACTCTTAAAGGCTTGTGAAAATGGGACGTAACATCATTAAATCACTTTATATACTTTCAAAGAGGATCTCATTTTCAAGCTTACATCAATTGACTTACGACGTACTTTCACGTACAAAAACATGGGGTGTAATAATTACTATGTCCTTATCCGCCCAACCACAGTCCTTTCGAATCACAGGAAGGACAACCTCGTTGATGGAGCAGATATACCTAGATACGGCCTCGCATAGGCCTTGCACCGATGAGGGCATTTCGACCTTAAAATCGTCCGCGGCCGAACACCCCCAGGGGGCTCGGCTGCCGGTTCATTGGCAGTCACGCCCGGAGCGGACCTCTCAAGGACAACCACGTCGGGGGTGGTCTCCTCGACTTCGGTGGACAGCTGCGTAGAAGAAGAAGCAACCTTTTGAGGAACGGTTTTGGAAGTTTTCGCCATTGTTATTTGGAAAAGTCTTGAAAAAGTATGAAGGAAGGTTGGGAGACGAAGGGTAAAAGCTTACTGAGTAAATCAAGCGTGTTGGTTTGGGTAGAAGATGAATAAAGACTTATAATTTGTTGAGAAATCTTGAAGAACGAAGGTAAAAATGTTGGGGTATGAAGAAAAACAATAATATCCTCAAGATTCGAAGGTAGAAGCTTGGCCAAAAGTAAGAATGAATGAAGGAGGGGAGTATTTATAGGGGCTTCACGCCGTTTCGCGTCCAAGGACGGCAGGATGGCTGACACGCATTTGAAGTCATTATGACGCGATTGACAGAACGTTTCGGATCTTTTTTCGTTTCTATTACGGCGTATTGAAGAAGGAATCGAAGTGCTCATGTCGTTTCTCGTCGTAAACTTACTCTCCGAGAAACGAGGGGACTATCTGTATACGGGTAAAACCGAGCCCTTGAGACGCCTCGGTTTCCGATGAAATAAACGGAGCAACAAACGTGACGACAAAGAATCGGAATCGAGGCGAGGAACCTCTCGAGCCGGGGTCCGGGGCAAAACGCCTGCCTTCGAAAATATCGGAGCCATGACCCCGGGATCGATTCGAATCCTAAAGGCTTCGGAGAACACAAACAAGCAATCGAGCATGACCAACAAAAGGCCGTAACATCCGTAATCAACCGGATATCACGGCATAAATCTCGGCATGTAACGGCAGTAATCCGGTAATTAGTTAAACGAAAAAATTTTACCTTATATGAAATTGTACTTAGAGTAGAACTCCCCTATTATATAAAAAATTGTACTTAGAGTAGAACTCCCCTATTATATAAAAGGGATCTGATTATTCATTAAACACAAGCAATATACCCTTATTTTCTTTGCTATTCCAAGTTCTTCATTATCGTGAGCCCGAGAACAATTTATTACGTTCTTTATCCGCCTCATCTATCACGATTTATCATTTGTATTAATCCGCATATCCTTAAAACCACATTTAAATACAATTATTATCCGTTTTTCCGGGTAAAAAAACACAATTTAAAATTTACATTTTCTTGCGCAATATTTTAAAATACAGGCTCATGTCGTCTCTTATTAATTGATCTAGAGGAGTGGGAATACAAACTTAAAGCTACTAACAAGTCCTACTGTGCTTTATTTTTATTCTTAAAAAAGACAGCAAAAAAGATGGTTTTCAAGAAGCTTGTGGTTTCTTCTCAACAATGGGTCTCCAATTCAAATCAACGCCTTTATCTTCATCAACAGGCTTTCCTCCTGGTTCTTTAGCCAACTTCTTCCTAAGTTCTTTTTCATCTTCCACCATAATTTCATCTTGAACATTCTCTGGATCTACATCTCCCACTACCTTTCCTTTCATCTCTTCAGCAGTATCCTCAATTGCCTTCCAAGCATCTTGAGCTGTTTCCTTTGCTTTATCCTTCACTTCTTTCGCCTTATCAGCCATTTCAGATACCTTACCACCCGTTTCACTGCTCCCGTAGTTCCTCTCGTGCCTGCGCTGTGGTGGTTCCGACGACTCCTCTGTTGCAACATATCCTCCCTTTTAATATATTTCCATATGCATGCATAGATCACAACATAAATAAGCATGTGCCTTTGTTTGAAAATCTAAAGAATTAAGTACTAGTAATGATGTAGAGTTAATTTCATAAATAGCGATCCAACTTTCGATTTTTGTCAAATTTAATATATTTTGATGCTTTTACTTTCTATTCTCTACAATATATAAAGAAGGATAGTCGACTTACTTTTCTGTTAAATTAAAGAATGCAACTTTTATAGCTAAGGTACGTACACCATATCAAAAGTTGAAAGTTGTATGATCATCCCTAAGATTAACGCTACTAAACATCTCTCTAATTAAGCCTTGTAAATAAGCCGGATCAAGAGTTTAACATATCAATGGACACACGAAAAATGTATATTTTTGGAAAGTGCTAATTATACTATTATATTATAGTCTGAACCACAAGATGCACGTGTACTCATTATAAATCTGTATATGCTACATCCTCCAACTTGGTTTAGTAACCTTTAATTGTACTAAATCAAGCTAGTATAAAAAGACGTACCTTCCAGATTTGACGACCGATAAAGACAGAGGAGGCTCGATTTGGGAAGGCCTTGGAGAGGTTGAAGATGGATTTTTTGGTTAAGGACGCCATTTGTGCTTCTCCTTCCTTTACTTTTTTGGTTAATTGAATGTACTTGAGATGATTCTGAGGTCTTTTAGCTCCTTTTCTTCACGGTATTCTCGAGAATTACTGCATGAAGGAAGGGGTTGGTGTCTCTTGAAATTGCCACGTTTAGAGGTGTATGTGCCACATACTTGCTATCTTTTGACACGTGTACAGTTCCCACGTCAATTTTTGGCACTAGTACCACAACTAAAAACGGACACCATTTTGCAACAAGATTGCACTTCTGCTTCTTCTATCCCGTTAGATCTATATAATGTTATTTTTAATCCTATTCAAAAAAAAAATCTCTTAATATTAAAATGCTTACAGTAATTTTTACAAACATATGTTTATCGAATCTTATTATCTTAAATTAAATTTATACTATCTTGACGTGAATTAATTTTTTTTACTTTTAAGCAACTACATAATTTTAACCTACATCACTGACTTTTATTTAGAAAATACTCACTAAAATTTTCTTCTACTCCAACAAGTCCAACGAATAGTTTTGTGATCTCGAGGTTTTAATTTCTGTACAATGTTCAACTTTTACATAAAATTGCTCAAGTCATATTCTACATTTAAAAAAAAAAGAAAAAATGGAACAGAATGTAAGTGGTGAAAATTGTCTTAGGTACTATAGACAATATTTCAGAAACTAAATACCAAATCGACGCATAGTACTAATATTCAACACTATAATTAGGCCCCCTACCAATGACATTTGTTCAGGAGAGATTTAGGGGGTTGGCCAGAACTATGACAGTCCAACGGGATGGGACGAGATAAAATTAACGGGACGGGATGGAACGATATTTAGTCGGGACGGTGGCAGGACGGGACGAAACGGTAGGCCCATCCCGTCCCGCTAACAAACGGGATNATAACTTATGTATAATTTCTCTCTGACACTATTCTGGAATTGGCAATGTTGATTGATGTTCCATGAGTTTCATGCCGTCATCGCTCCCAGTGCTAAGTATCTCATTGTATTCTTCTTCTTCCCAAGTGGTTAATTTTTCAAAATCAAGATTTCTTCTTTCTGAATTAATCCAATCTCTGAATAATACGGAAATCTCTAGGTTGTCCTCCGCTAATGAATGTCTATGATCTCCGATTTGAAATCTTGCCGCGCTAAAAGCACTCTCTGATGCTACTGATGATGCTTGAATAGCAAGGATATCTCAGGCCATTATTGAAAATGTTGGAATAGCAAGGATTTTCATACAAGTGATGTTTTGGGACGTTCACCCTTAGGCTTACTCCTTACAGGAGATACAGGGGGTAAAGCTCCAGACCGAGATTCAGTCTGAGTTGGAGCTTGTGTTGCGGGACTAGTGGGTGTTTCATCTAAATCTTCTTCCTCATTTTCTTCATCCTCATTCTCTTCGTCCTCAATAAAAATATCATTGCCAAATTGTCTTTGTAAAGTTTCATGATCTAGTTGTTCTCCGAAATTAATATTATAACATGCGGGGGTGGAAAAATAAAATTTCATCAACATGAGTCATTTCATCTATATGTTTTCTAATTCTAGGAGACGGGTTAGGATTAGGACTAGGATTAGGATTACAACTACTTTCACCTTTACTACTTTTTTTTACTAGTTTTTTTAAAGCTAAATACATTTGTAGGTGCCATAATTTAAATATGAAATTAAATTAAAAAAGTTAACACAAAAATTAAACACACAAATGAAATACGAAAATAGAACACGTAAAGTAAACACAAAAATTAAGCACTAAAATGATACGCAAAAATTATATATTAAAATTAGAAAATGGAACGAGTGCACCGTGATTAAAAATTATATATTAAGAAATTGTCCAAAATATTGCTCCAAATACTTGACGAATTAATTTGAAACTTGAAAGTTGCTCTAAAAATTTGCACAAATACTTGAAACTTATCACTTGATAGTGAGAAAATTGAGAGAATAATATAGATAGAATGCAAGAGATTTGAGAGGGAATGATTGATTTTTGTGGGAAAAAATGAAGAAGGATGGGGTATTTATAGTAAAAAAAAATAGGGCCAAAATATAATTTAATAAACTTAGGGGTTATATTAAAAGTTTGGGGGAGGTAGGGGTGTTTTTTTTTTTTTTGAGGGGAGGGAGGGTGGAGGCCAATTATAGACGTTTTTGGCCATTGGGAATAACTATTTTTGCAATTGGAGCACAGGACGGGACGAAATAGGACGGAACAAACGGGACGAAATGGCCATCCCGTGTCCCATTTAACATGGGCCCATCCCGTTTAGAATTAAGTGGGACGGGACGCGGGACGGGACGGGACGGCCCGTCCCGTTGGACAGCCTTAGCCAGAACTACTGTGAAATTTTATATACATCGTGTTCGAGAAGGCTGCATTTTGAAATTTACATCAAAATTAACAAATAACACTTGCAGAAAAATTAAAAGGTACACTGCAGCTATCCCAGTTGAAATCTACAAAAATCTTGTAAGATACAAATCAAAGCAACAGAAACTCTTCATTTCCATAGTTCTTCCATAGGAATCCCACGGTCTTGAGCAACTTCACTAAATTGCCTCATTTGTTGAACAGCTACAACAGTGGCTCTTGCATTGTTGAGGGCATTGTTACTCCCAAATTGCTTACCCAAGGCATTCTCAACGCCAGCCATTTCGAGAACAATCCGCACAACACCACCAGCAATAACTCCAGTACCAGGGGCTACTGGTCTAAGCATCACCCTTGCTGCTCCAAAGTCTCCCTCAGATCTGCAATTAAGTTGGTCAGCAATGTTATCCCTATGTTATTAACAATAACAAGATGATTCTTTCTCTTTTTGGATAATGGTGGTATCCAAGCCAACTTGCTTGCATCTCGACGGATACATGTTACCTCCAATTAGTACATGCATTGGGTAACTGTACCACGAAAATTTATGCAAATAGAAAGAAATCATCTAGCGTTTTTTTCTCTTTGTCTCTGTTGGAATTTGAATCTTATTCTTCCATGGTTTCCCCCACTTCTTTGACTACTAAATCACACTCGGATTCCCATCGCGAGATAATTCTTTCACGAAATGAGGTGCATAATTCTATTAACGTTTTCGGAACTACATACATGTCAAGGCAAATACTACCATAAGATATTCCTCAAGGCAAGATGTGGTGGAACCTTTAGACAAATCAGTTTTTTCTCATTAGGATGACAATCAATTAAAGAGGAACAGAAAATAAAAGACTTAATTATCTATCGTATTCAATCCTCTCAAGGCCTACCATTTCATTCCTCCAGATTTAGCGACAGATGTGCTGGGATAATCACGACAAGAAATCACAGCTCTACAGTCAGTACACATCCTAACATATATAGCCAGTCTTCAAAAGTATTAAACATAGCAGTACTGCTAACTGCTAAGTCATTAACATGTTTCTTAATAAAAGTGAGGACAGATCAGATTAATCTCTTTCAGATGCATAGGCTAGAATCACTGATGACCAATTTATATACTTATCAGACTGATCGACGAGCTAGCTAAAATCTAGAGAATCTCACACATTTTAGACACATGAAATATTGGGGTACATGTAGATTTCTTGTTATCTATTAAATCAACGAAAAGAAATAGACACAAAAACACAAATTTGTGCATATCTCAATTTGACATATATAGTCAACAAAATAAGAGGTTCCTTATGACAAAAATAAACTAGATTATGTTCAGATGCTTAAGTAGAACATATTTAGTATGTCATTCTACAAGCCACGATGTTGCCCGGTGAAAATCACGAGAGACCAGGGTTCAAAATGCTAGATACCAATTTTAGTTGTGCCCCTTGACGTTAAACATAACCAATAACTGGAATTATGCCTACGTTGAATTACTTTAGGAGCTTAATAGGATCACTCGTAATCAAATATCAGATCATCATGTCCTGTGTACCATAATTGTATTACATCCGCACGCTTTACCTTTCGTGCTAAAATTCTCGGTAATCAAGTATATCCATGACAAGCACCACCTACTACTGATCTAGAAAATCCTTCATAATTCCAGTAATTGGTTATGTGTAAGGTCAAGGGGCACAAGTAAAATTGGTGACTTTATCTTAGTAAAAGCCTGTGACCATGTCAAGTTATGATTACACAGGTTTATGGCGCAATGACCAACAACAACAACAACAAAAAACCCAGTATAATTTCACATGTGGGGTCTAGGGAGGGTAGTGTGTATGCAGACCTTACCCCTACCTGGAAAGGTAGAGAGGCTGTTTCCGATAGACCCTTGGCTCAAGAAAAGGTGGCAAGTAATATAAGGGAAGAAGAAGAAGAAGAAGAAAGAGGGGGAAGAAAGAAAGGGGGGAGAAAGAAAGAGGGGGAAGAGGGAGACAAAAGACAATAAGAAAAAGGGGGGGGAAAAGTAGCATCAAATAGTAACAATCAGGGAGCAACAATTTCCAGTACAAGAGGAGAAAAAGTAGCATCAAATAGTAACAGTTAGGAAGTAACAATTTCCAGTAGCAGTTTTAAAAAAACAACAGTGTGACGTGGTAGCTAAGTACCAGATACACTAACAATCTAAAAGAAAGTATCTCTCAACCAACAACAAGGATACTACTAGTACTACTGGTAAACCTAGGAGGAAGTCACAACTACCTATCAACTCACCACCTTAATCCTCGACCTCCACACCTTCTTATCGCTAGTCATGTCCTCGGTTAGGTGAAGCACTGACATGTCCTGCCTAATCACCTCTTCCCAATATTTCTTTGGCCTACCCCTACCTTTCCTTAAGCCCGCCATGTTCAACCTCTCACATCTCCTGACCGGGGCATCTATGTCTCTCCTCCTCACATGCCCAAACCATTGCAGCGTCGATTCCCGCAACTTGTCTTTCACGGATACCATTCTCACTCTGTCCCTAATAGCTTCATTCTTAATCTTATCTTTCCTGGTATGTCCACACATCCATTTCAACATCCTCATTTCAGCTTCGCTCATCTTCTGGACATGTGACTTCTTGACGGGCCAACACTCAACCCCATACAACATAGCCGGTTTAACCACCACCCTGTAGAACTTGCCCTTAAGTCTAGGCGGCACATTCTTGTCGCATAAAACCCCCGAAGCTAGCCTCCATCTCATCCAACCCGCTCCAATGCGGTGAGTAACATCCTCGTCAATCTTCCAGTCGCCTTGGATTATAGACCCAAGATACTTAAAACTATCTCTTTTGGGAATGACTTGAGTATCAATCTTTACTTCCAATTCTTCTTCATACCTCTCGTCGCTGAACTTGCACTCTAAGTATTCAGTTTTTGACCTACTCAACCTAAAACCTTTGGACTCCAGCGTCTGTCGCCACACTTCTAACCTAGCATTAACACCCCCTCGTGTCTCGTCAATCAGTGTTGTCAAAGGCGCGCTTAAACCCTAAAGCGAGGCTCAAAACATGTTGAGCGCTTTGCTTCGCTTTACGGGTGCTTCAGTGTCGCATCAAGGCTCTAAGGCATACTTTTCCTTGCCAATGAATGTAATCCTGAAAAGGCAACACTAAATAATTGATATTTTACTTTATCATAATTTTCTTGTTATTTCTTATTCATACTTATAATTATTAGTCTTAAACTACATATACATATTTTTACTTTTTCTCCAGTTGCGCATTTTTTCATTAAAGCCCACGCTTTATTTGTGCTTTGCGCTTAAAGCTCCAATGGGCCTTAGAGCTTTTTTGCGCTTTACGCCTTTGATAACACTATCGTCAATCAGTACTATGTCATCAGCAAATAACATACACCATAGCACCCTCCCTTGTATGTGTCGCGTCAGCACATCCAACGCTAAGGCAAACAAAAACGGGCTAAGGGCAGATCCCTGATGCAACCCCATCTCCATAGCGCAATGACCAATCTATGCAAAAATCATTTCTCATATATTACTGCAGATCCAGTACCGAGAAATCTGTTGCCTCCAGCTATGAAACTCAATATAATGTCCCCTCCCTACTCCCTCTACCCCTCTATCCTTCTCCACCTAAATACCAGACATGGTTCACTTTTGCATTACAAATNATCATTCCCAAGGAAAGTCTCTCCACTGTAAGCTGGCCCATACAACTCTTCATAAGCTTTTGCAATGTCGTCTTCAGATTCTAAGGGGCCATCGTCGAAAAAGGGTGGTTCTATGAAGTCTTCAGGGCGTTCTGGAGGGTCAAAAGTGGAAATTTCTTCTGGGTCTGTGTTGTCAAAGAAAGTGGTTTCGACGGTTGTGGAACTGGCTGTTATGGGCTTGAGTTTTAATAGGTGGATGGGTTTAGGGAGGAAGAATGATTGGGATTGAAAGGGTGAAAAGCGAGAAGGGGTTGTATAGAGAGAGGGAAAAGAAGGTGGAGAGCGAAGCAGATACTGTTGTCATTATCTCGTCTTGTGTTAATGGCGAAGTACAGTGGAAGAAATGTAATCTTCTTATCCTTAACTTCCAAGTGGTAAGATGGGCTGAGTTGAGATAGGATTAGTTGACGGGCGATGTGCACAGATAGCCAGTAATAACACATGTATTTACTTTTAAGCCACTGTTTTAAATATATTTAGTCTTTAGCCACTGCTTTAATAAACTTTTACCCACCCGGACAAAAATACCCTTCTGTTATATAGGATTTCGCTGATATATACGGTCCTTATTCACGATCAGCAGCAGCTCAAACTTACGTGCAAACTTACGTGCAGAGAATTGTTGTGATCGTCCAAAATTGCAGAAGTTTCTCTTCCGATTTCAAACTTTTTGTCTAAGTTCAGAATTCAACTTTCTCGTCCAAAATTCACCATAAAATTACAGTAAGTTCTAAATTTTCAGATATCTCTATATGCTTTTGTGTGTTTTTGTGGATTTTTATTTCGTTACTGAAGAATAAGATGCTAGGAATTTGATTTTTTTTCTTTTCTATATTGATAACGTTAAGGACATCGCGTCCTTAACTCTGTGATTGTTCTGTAAATATTGAGGACATAATGTTAAGGATTTGGTGTCCTTAACATGACTGTTGTTCTAAAAAATATTAAGGATAAAGTGTCCTGTGTTTTGCAACTTGTATTAATAAAGTTAAGGACACGATGTCCTTAACTTCATGACTGTTGTTCTAAATATTAAGGACATAGTGTCCTGTATTTGTAAATTGTATTAATAAAGTTAAGGACACGATGTCCTTAACTTCATGGTTGTTGTTCTAAATATTAAGGACACCATGTCCTTAACATTTTTACTGCACACATCAAAGTGAAGGACACCATGTACTTAACATTTTCACTGCACACATCAAAGTTAAGGATAGCTTGTCCTTAATATTTATACTGCACACATCAAAGTTAAGGACAACTTGTCCTTAACTTTAACAATGCACACATCAAAGTTAAGGACATCATGTCCTTAACTTTTACAATGCACACATCCAAGTTAAGGACACCATGTCCTTAACATTTTGACTGCACACATCAAAGTTAAGGACATAGTGTCCTGTTTTTGCAACTTGTACTGATAAAGTTTAGGACATGATGTCCTTAACTTCATGACTACTGTGTAAAAATTAAGGACATAGTGTCCTGTTTTTGCAACCTATACTAATAAAGTTTAGGACATGATGTCCTTAACTTCATGGCTACTGTGTAAATATTAAGGACATAGTGTCCTGTATTTGCAACTTGTATTGATAAAGTTTAGGACATGATATCCTTAACTTCATGACTATTTTTCTAAATATTAAGGACATAGTGTCCTGTGTTTTGCAACTTGTATTGATAAAGTGTAGGACATCTTGTCCTTAACTTCACGATTGTTGTATAAATATGTCCTGAATTTCCCATTTTCTTGACTTGCAGGATGGATACAATATGTATTATAGTTGCTTTTAATGGTAGATGGACTGCAGACTATAAGTATCTTGATCATCAAACAAAGCTTGTTCTAGTACCTGAGGCAATTCGATTTGAAGATTTCATTAACCAGGTCTTTGAAGTTATTGAATTGGATAGAGACAAGTTTGAAGCAATGATATGGTTTGATATCAATCTGGGAACAAGCAAGGGAATGCTTGTATCCAAAGATTTAGATCTTCACACATGTATAGAGTTACTAAAAAGTCATTCACTCTTCAAGGGCTGTCGTTTCATTGTTGATATTTCGGAAAAAGTTTTTGATTCTACAAGCACCTTTGAACATGTCAATACAGAAACTCAACAAGACAATCAAGACAAATGCCAACAGATAATGGAAATAGATGTGGTTGAAGCTCAACCAATAACTAAAGAGGTGCTTCAAACATTTGATTCTATTCAAGTAGAAGGACAAAGCATTATAGAGATTGACAACGAACAAGATTTGGGTATTCAAGTCTTAGAGAGTGCACCGGTGATAGAAAAAGTTGCTTAAAAAACCTTTACTCAACTAACTAGACAAAGCTCAAATTCGAAACAAAAAGAATCCCCAACTACGAGATTAAGAGAAAATGCTTCGTTGGATGAAATAAAAGTGAGATCAATATTTGACAAAAAGAAGAGTATAATTAACTGTTTTTCTAATATAGCAATTAAAGGACATTTTGAATTCAAGGTTGTTAGATCAAGCTCAATAAGATATTCGTTGAAATGCAACGGTGATAGGTGTGGGTGGTGTGTGCGTGCTTTCAGAATTAAAGATTCAACACTATTAAAGATAGTAAAGATTGAGAAAAATCATGACTGCTCAGTTAACACTATGAAAGCTGATCAAAGGCATGCAACTTCAAAGTTGATTAGTGGTTACATTATCGACAATCTTCGAGACCCAAGGTTTGAAGTTACACCAGCCTTTGTCATGGCAGAAATGCAAAAATTGCATGGACTAGACATTGGTTATCACAAGGCGTGGCGTGCTATTCAACGTGCTTCAGCTTTAATAAGAGGAACTCCTGAAGAGAATTATGAATTATTGTCTTCATACTTGTATATGATGAAAAGTAAAAATCCGGGAACATACACTAACATAAAGATAGACGACAACAACAAGTAAACAATCAAAAAGAGTTTATTAGTCTGTTTTATAGACTTTAGGATATGGTGTCCTTAACTTGGATATGTGCAATGAAAATATTAAGGACATGGTGTCCTTAACTTGGATATGTGCAATGAAAATATTAAGGACATGGTGTCCTTAACTTTGATGTGTGCAGTGAAAAAGCTAAGGACATGGTGTCCTTAGCTTGGATGTGTGCAATGAAAAAGTTAAGGACATGGTGTCCTTAACTTTGATGTGTGCATTGTAAAAGTTAAGGACATGGTGTCCTTAACTTTGATGTGTACAGTGAAAAAGTTAAGGACATTGTGTCCTTAACTTTGCTATGTGCAGTAAAAATGTTAATGACATGGTGTCCTCAACTTTGATGTGTGCAGTAAAAAAGTTAACGAGATGGTGTCCTTAACTTTGATGTGTGCTGTGAAAATGTTAAGGACGTGGTGTCCTTAACTTTGATGTGTACAGTGAAAATGTTAAGGACATGGTGTCCTTAACTTTGATGTGTGCAGTGAAAATGTTAAGGACATGGCGTCCTTAACTTTGATGTATGCATTGTAAAACTTAAGGACATGGTGTCCTTAACTTTGATGTGTGCATTGTAAAAGTTAAGGACATGGTGTCCTTAACTTTGATGTGTACAGTGAAAAAGTTAAGGACATTGTGTCCTTAACTTTGCTATGTGCAGTAAAAATGTTAATGACATGGTGTCCTCAACTTTGATGTGTGCAGTAAAAAAGTTAACGAGATGGTGTCCTTAACTTTGATGTGTGCTGTGAAAATGTTAAGGAC